ATTAATAGTTTGTGATATATAACACTAATTAACTTTCCTTTTATCCATGACTTGTATGTTATACGTAAGTCTTGAATCAAGCCTCTCTACTACGAATCTGCTTAATTAAACAGCAACATAACAAATTATTGAAAGAATTTGGCAAAGACAATGACCTTGAACGGGCCGCCTTCAGATGTACCAAAACAAATAATTTGAATAAAAGTACGAATAGCAGAATGTGAACGTTGATGGTGAAATACCAAATAATTTGATCCTGATAGCTGCAAAAGGTTAGGTATTCAGGAGTATGACCAACTGAATCTTTTACCTTTAAACATGAAAACCATATTAAAGAATATGATCATAATTGATATATCTTTTAATTTAATATATTTGTTAACACTTATTAATTTAATTATTAAATTTTATAACTAAAAAGTTTTCTTATTTTACCAATGACTTAAATAATTTAATGGTAATCTCCTTCCGTTGGAAGTAAGAGATCTCAAGTTTGGAAATAAAAAATTCTAAATTCGAATTGCATGACATGCGAGTGGAGTATGATAAGGGATAATAGAGAGTTGCCTCCCGTTATATAATCAATATAAAAAAAAAAGTTTTTTGGTTTTAAATTCGAATATAAAAATAATAATTTTTTAATAAGTGTTTTATAAAATATATTGAATTAGAAGATATACTAATAACTATCCAAAAGAATATTATTTCCTATACATGGGGACCTTAGCCCTTAGGTACTACGAAAATAATTGAAGTCACCTTTTCTCTCAAACCATCATTTTTGCTAACCTCACAAACCACTTACAACCATCAAACTGACACTGTTATATGTAAGAGAAGACACAAAACTATTTTATCCTCTTATTATATGCAATGAATCTGTTGTTTTAATGTCTCTTTTAAGAATTTCTATCTCCCTTTTATTTTCAAGATGAGGGGCCTCAGGACACATATATATGGGGGTTTACCAGAAAAGCAATTACACAGTTGCCGAGCAATAATAATGCCGTTAAATTCCGTTATGAAATTTTCTCATCCCAATTAAGGGCAAACATACCAAAACAAAGAGAAAAGAAAAGAAAGGAATGTAACCTCTAGTAATTTAAGGGACTTGTTGCCATTGATGTGTACTGTTGCGCGGATGAAGGGTAAATTAAAATCCTATAAGAAAAAATATATATATATATGTATATCCGTAATTAAAATATTTTATTTAAAAAATTAGAAAATAATGAAATAAATGGACGTTTAAAAAAAAAAATTAACTCTTACAGTATAAATCTTTTTTCTTATAGGAATTTCTCAAGTTCATTGCTCAAAATTCCCATCATGGGTACGAATGTACAAGTTATACCCAGGCATTGCAATAGAGTAAAGCTATTGTATCGACTATTGTAAATAAAAAGGATTGATTAATTACAATTTGCATCATCCCATTTTTAATTATTTTTAATGTGTTGTTGTAAAATTAATTTTTTTTTAATTGTTTAAGGAGCCACACATAATATTCTATGCATTTTTTTGTTAAGCAGATGACAATTTCTCTCAATCCAAAGAAAATAAACACAATTATAATGAAAGGGGTTGTTAACCTAACCCACTAATTTCTATATTTCCACCCCTAGTTCTCCTCGATCAGCACCTTTTCCATTGACAGAGAGTTTTCAAACAAAACTGGGCAAGTCCAGCCCGCTGTAAAACCTCCTCCCATACTTGCTTTCTGAACACACACACACACACTTAGGAAAACAGATGATTATCACATCCTCTTTATACTACTATCACGGAACAAATTGACATCCCCTTTCCACATGCATAACTCTTTCATAATTCCTATAACTTTACCAAACATAAAATGACTTAAAAAGTCAAAAGTATTTTTATTTACTGTAGGCACGGATATGTATGATTGATAACTGTTTTTGGGTAGGATGATTTTGGAGTAGCCCTTGTAATTACTAATAATGAATTCTCTTGTTGATAAAAAAAATAAAAAATAAAAATAGAAATAAAAACTTAAAAGTTAAAAGCATTATGGGATGTGAGAAAAAGTACGTGAAAGCAATTTGAAACTGACATGACAAATATATCTATGTATAAGTTCACTGAAGGCACCTAATTAAAACCATAAAACCAATATCTTTTTTATTTTTCTTATTTTATTTTTTTATCACCAAAAAAAAAAAAAAACAAGTAAAAGAAATAAAAAAATGATTAGTTTCCATTCAGTTCAACTGTTAAAATATAATATAAGTATAGCTAATTCAACTATATTCTATATCTTATATGCATAATTATATATTTAAATTTATTCTTTAATTTCATATTAGAAAATAGTGATTTTTTAATAAATATATTATGTAAGATGCTAAACCTAAGTGTATATCAATCATTATCTAAAAAAAAAATATCCTCTAGGAATATTACACTTGAGTGATTTGTTTGATTGGTTAATTGATTTCTTAGCCTATGAACTTCCTCCTCCCTCCCATGTGAACCTTCAAATTAGGCTATTTTTTAGGATTAAAGTAGTTAAAGTCTTATAATTAGGCATCTTGGCTAAGTGGCTTTTTGGCGCACGAAAAGCAAATTCTAGTTTGCTTTACTCCACCTACTAATTTTAGATTCATTTTTGCCTTGGTATATAACCCTAGGGTAGGATTCCCCTAGCGAAGCTTTTCTTTGCTTTTCTTTACATCATCAAAAACTTTTCTTTGTTGCTGGCATGCTTGTCAATTATATGTAACATATATCTTAGGTAGAAGAAAATAATTGAGTTACAACCTTTTTTTTTTTTTAATATATGTTTGTATAGTGTGATATACTAGTTGAATAATTAATAATGTTTTAATTTTATTTAATGGAACATGTGAATTAATATTCATCTACTGGTTTGATGCCATTTAATTTGTTTATCCGACATTAAGAGTTATTCTTTCAATTTGTTGAGATTGATATGTCTAAAATAAATAAAAAGAGAAAAATTATAGATGTTTGATGTTATTGGCATCTTAATGTGAAAGATGAAATTTTATCATCCATTATTGTTAGATTAAAACACTCCCCACAAATTACGCATTTTGTCTGAACATTGAACTTTTATCATTCATAAATCATAATTTATCTACAATATTGTCATCAGAGCCCCCCATTATTATGAAACAATCAAGCAAAAATATTCCTCCGCAATCGCAGTTGACTCCTGAATGGCTGAGTTCATGATTAAAAAATACAGCAGATATGTCAAGGAAATGTTGGTTTGAGTTCTATATATATGGGTATGGGCAATAGATATATGCCAATTGATAATAAATACATCAATACTACGTTAGACGAATGCTGGTCCATCCTGAGCGAAAGAGCACATGATAAGAAGACTGCAGAAGCTTTTAAGAGACTTGCATATGAGGTAAACCTGCAACCCTAAGACTTGAATTCATTAGCAAGTAAAAGTGGTCTTTTAA